TGTCAATGAAGCTTGGCATACTATATGCTCTGTGTATGTCCTGCCATCTTTAATGACTTATCCACATGTACACCCTGCCCTCTCTGCTTCTAAATACCTTTTGAGCATCCTTTACTTTGTCTCTCATGGTCTTTCTACCAAAATGTATCACCTCACACTTCTCCACATAGAACTCCATATAGAGCTGCCATGTATCTGCTTACTCTACCAACTTGTCTACATCCTTTTAGAGTTCTATACTGTCCTCCTCAGTTTAAAGTGCTGCCGTGTTTTGTGTTATCCGAAAACTTTGAAGTTATCAATTGCACATCAAGATCTAGATAATTTACATGTATCAGTAAAACCAAGGGTCTCAATATTGTACTCTGAGAAAATCCACTACAAACTTGCCAACCCAAAAAATGCCCATTTACCAGCACTGCCTGTTTCCTATCCATCAGTAAATTTTGTATCCATGTTACTATTGACTAGTTTTATTCCACGAGCTCTACCCTTTCTCAATTGTGTGGCACTGTATTAAACATCTGAAAGTCCTTGTTCATCGCTACATCTGCTGCATGGCCCTCATCAACCCTCCCTATTACCTCCTCAAACACTCCAGTAAGTTAAATAGACATGACTTTCCCTTAACAAATTTATGCTGGCACTTCTGAGTTAATCCACATTCTGCCCCAGTGTGGCAAGAAGAGACTGAGCAATAAAACATAAGCATGCACCAGCAAATTACATCAGAGTTAGGAAAAATGGTCAAAAAAGGCACAATCATAGGGTCTTTATTTATGTGTGGTATTCATAACAAGGTGATGAATTAATAGCGTCAACAGAAATAGATTGAAATGACGTATTAGCTGTTGCAGTCCCACTGAAACAAACTGACCACAACTGGCACCTGAATATTATAGGGTATTTGACATTTCGTAAAGACAGAAAGAAAAAGAAGCTGCTTGGTGGCTGCGTTAATAATGGATGTTGACCGTACGTATTTAGAAATGATCTTGATTCAGAGGATCAAAATGTAGAATCAGACAGGGTGGAAATAAGAAATAGAAAGTGAACCAAGTCATTGGTGAGAGTAGTTTTTAGGGTCTCTGATAGTAGCAAAATAGGACAGAATATAAATCAAGGAATACTGCTTGCATGAAAGCTACAAACATAATCATGGGAAATATTAATCCTCAAATATTAATTCTGATGAATCAAATCAGCAGAAGTAGCTTGGCAGATGAGTGCATAGAATGTATCTGGGAAAAGTTCTTGGCTCTCATATTATTTTGTCCACCCCTCTTGGGGTACTATGGAGTCAGCAATTTTCGATATTTAAGTTCAAAAGCTCTTGACAATTCCAGTATAAATTATTGAGGGCATCTTATAGTTCGTTATCACACTAATTTAATTAGATATTGTCTTTAAGTCATTCTTTGAAACCTTGATAAATCCTTCAATATGTGGTTAACATGTATGCTGAATATAAAAGTGAACCATTGGCATTAGTGTTATCAACATCTGATGCAACAAATGGTCATCTCTTAAACTTGTGAGCATTTTCCCAACACAGATTGATCCCTTGTGTCCAGTTGATTGCGGTAAGTAAAATACACATTAGTGGAATGACAGATTGAGACTAACCACTAATATGAGGAATCCATATCATGGCTGAAGAGAGGAAGGATGATGTTGACTTAGATGTTAAGAATGTGCAAAAACATGATTTGTAGGTCCAGATAAAAGGGCTGTTAAAGATGAAATCGACTTGTACACCATGATTTATGGTACTGTAAGCAACTTAAATGCCATTCAGCATGTTGAAGTTATAATGTAGGCACTTTTTCAGTTTTTTCATCCACAGTACTCTGTGCTGAATTATTTAAAATGCGTATTTTTGATTTTAAAAATTATTAGATTTCACCCTTTAAAGCTGCAGTAAAGAAATTAAAGTCTTATCTCTGTCATAATATCAAGACTGTCAACTGTATTAAGTTCTGGCAGCTGTTGGCTTGCTTACATTATGTCTACTTTACCAACGTCCTGAGGGAAAACTGTTGGGAACGCAATTTTAGTATAAATTAGATAAAAACTGCTACACTTTACTGATCTTTGATTCCACTCTTTGGAAATCTCTGGTAAAATGTTACCATGGCATTGATTTTCCTGGCAGGATAATGGACAAGGTGACTGAAGACATTGATAGGACATCTGATTGATTGCAGTGGATATGCTTCATTTAAGTACAACAGATGAGCTGCCAGTGCTAATGGTGCCACTCATAAACAGCATAAAGGTTGGAAATCTGATGGAAATGCTCCCACCTCTCGTCTGCATACGGAAAACATACTTTTCAAGGATGCTCATCGAAACATAGAAAATAAGAGCAAGAGTAGAATATTTTGCCCAATGACTCTGCTTTGCTATTTAATATAATTATGGCTGATCCTCTATCTCAATACCATACATCTGTTGTTTTGTCAAACGCCTGAGGCCTTTAGTTCCTCAAGTCTATGTATTTCTGTCTTAAATATATTCAATGATGTGGCTTCCTCCATCTTATGTAATTGAGAATTTTACAGGGTCACCACACTCTCAGTGACACAGATTTTAAATTTCTCCTCATCTTAATCCTAAATGGTCAACCCTGTATCCTGAGAGTGTGACCCCTTTCTGTAGGACCCCCCTCCATCAGAAGGAACATCATCCCTGCATCCAGTCTGTCTAGTGTATAGCATATTTCAGAGGCAGCATGACGTTGACTACACCACCTCAATTCTCTGATAGACTCAAGTTTGTACCCCTTCAGCAAGTTAAGTACAAGAAGGTTGTTATCTTGCCTTCAGATGACAATAAGTAACCCAGAAGTAGGCAATGAGAAAGATGTTTGAACTAGCAGTCCAGACAAATGAGCTTGAAGTTTGAGTTTGATTTATTGTTGTCACATGTACCGAGATACAGTGAAAAGTAGTGTTATGCATGCAAAACGGGCAGACCATACCACACAAGTGCATCGGGGTAACAGAACAGAGTGCAGATTACAGTGTTACAGCTGCAGAGAAGGTGCAGACAGAGAGAGAGATCAGAATTAAAATTTGAGGGTCTGTTCAAAAGTCTGGTAGCAGCAGGGAAGATGCTGTTCTTGAATCTGTTCATACATGCATTCAAACTTTAATGTCTTCTGCCCAATGGAAGAATGTGGAAGAGAGTATAACTGGGGTGAGACGGGTCTTTGATTATGTTGGTTGCTTTCCCAAGGCAGCAGGAAGTATAGATGGAGTCAATGGATGGAAGGCTGGTTTGCATGATGTGTTTAGAACTCTCAGTAGTTTCTTGCAGTTTTGGGAACAGCCATTGCCATACCACGCTGTGATGCATTGAGATAGGATACCTTTTTATGATGCATCTATAAAAATCGGGAGGATTCTTTGTGGACATGTCAAATTTCCTTAGCTTCTTGAGGAAGTAGAGATGTTGCTGTGTTTTTTTGATCATTGTATCAACATAGGTGGACTAAGACAGATTTTGGTGATCATCACTCCTAGCAACCTGATGCTCTCGACCACCTCCACCTCAGCACCATTGGTGCAGACAGGAACGTGCCCTTAACTCCACTTCCTGAAATCAATGACCAGCTCCTTTGTTTTGCTGATGTTGATGGAAAGATTGTTGTCTTTGCATCATGCCATCTTTATACCATGAAGTCACCATGAAGATCCTCCTCAAACTCAGTGCCTCACTTGAGGTGTGGTGACCTTCAGGTTAAACTCACCAATGGTTTTTCTCTATAATGAGAGAGCAGACCTATGGTTCTCTGGGACTATGGCGACTTTCCGTAAGGTGTGCATAAAATTTGGCATGACAATATTATCTAGTATCCATTATAACATTGCCATTTGTATTGTTGACGACTCTATTTCCTAATATCTTGATAGTGACTGGAACATTTGGTGGAAACATGTAGTGGGGTGGGGAATCTCACCTGCTAGCTGAACAGCTAGTGAAAAACTTGCATTGCCAGTTTTTGGGAAGGCCTCTTGGTTCGTGGTTCATTCAGGGAGTTGAGAAGACATGGGGATCAGTGATTACCTTTGAAGGAGATTCCCGCATGCCTCCAACTCTACTACCTGTAGATGACCAGCAGCTCACACAGGTTAACCTATTGTGTTCTTCATGTGACAACAGGCGCATTCGCAGTTGGTTTCAATACCTGCAGCAGTGAGATGATGCCTTTAAGTTGTCATTAATTATCAGCTTAAGGGCCTCAATTAGTAATCAGATAGGAAGACTGACTATGAGCCTCCCTACTCAGGACTTAATCAAGGTGGAGATGGAAAATTTGAGGTGCTCACTCATCAGCTCCTGCACGATTAAGTTCCCTCTATACATTTAGACAGTTACCAGAGAGGGCGGAAGATTCTACACATGGAATTGAATATGGACAAGTGTACAATCACACTCTTTGGAAATATGGATAAGGCTATTTTCTAAAGGGTGAGAAACTAGGAACTGTGGAGTAGCAAAGGGGCTTGGGAGTTCAAATACACTAATCATTAAAAGTCCACAGACAGATACAAATGAGCTAACGTGTTGTTAACCTTACTCTTGAGAGGATTGGAATTCAAAGGGATGAAAGTTCTGCCTCAGTTATGTAGAATATTTGTCAGATGCCATTAGAAGTACTGTGTCTAGTTTTGTTCACCAAGCCATAGAAATGTCTAATTGACTTTGGAGGAGATATGTTGCAGGTTCACCAAAATCATATCAGCGTTTAGCAAGTTATATCATGGGGACAAGTTTCACAAGTGTAGCTTATATTTCTTTTGATTCCTGATGAGGGAGTGATCTGACCAAGATAAATGGACTCTGAATGGAATCTGTTCACAACCTGGGACAGTGATTTTTTTTGATTTGTCTATTGATTGTCATGCGTATTTTGTTGCAAAAACAGTGAAAAGTGATGTATAGTGTCGCCACTCACCGGCTTCATCTCAAAACACAGACAAATAAACCAAAACATAGAATATAAAGGCAGATGAATAAAGAAAAAAAGAAAAACAGTTTCTGTTCTTATCAGTTTAATATCTGATATATCCCTTATCTAGGACCGTGTATTAAATTGATTTTTTCAGCAGGGAGATGGAATGGGGGATTTCCATTTCCACTCTGTGCATCAACCAGGTATCATAGTACCTTTGGGAACGGGCCTGCTATGTTGCAGTGGTGCTGTCGCTACCTCTGATCTAAGTGGCCAAGGTTCAAGTCCCAGCTGCTCCAGAGGTGTGTCATAGCATTTCTAAACAGGTTGACAGGTATGTAGATAACATAGTGTGGAGCTGGAGGAACACAGCAGGCCAGGCAGCATCAGAGGAGCAGGAAAGCTGACATTTCGGGCCAGGACCCTTCTTCAGAAATGGGGGAGGGGGAAGGGAGCTCTGAAATAAATAGAGAGGAGGGGTGGGGCTGGGGAAGGTAGGTGGGATGGTGATAGGTGAGTGCAGGTAGGCAGTGGTGGGGATTGGTCAGTGAGGTGGGAGGAGCAGATAGCTGGGAGAGAAGACGGACAGGTCAAAGAGGCGGGGATGAGAGGGAGGGTTGGTCATGAGATGAGGCCGGGGGTGGGGAGATTTTGAAACTAGTAAAGTCCGCATTGAGACAATTGGGTTGTAGGGTCCCAAGATGGAATATGAGGTGCTGCTCCTGCAGTTTCCGGGTGGCATTGTTGTGACACTGGAGGAGGCCCAGGTTGGACATGTCACCCAGGGAGTGGGAGAGGGGGTTGAAGTGGTTCACGACTGGAAGGTGTTGTCGTTTGTTGCGAACAGAGCTCAGGTGCTCTACAAAGCGGTCTCCGATCCTCTGCTTGGTCTCACCGACGTAGAGGAGGCCACATTAGGAACAGCGAATGCAATAGACCACATTGGTGGATGTGTAGGTGAACATCTGTCTGATGTGGAAGTTTTTTTGGTTCCTTGGATGGAGGTGAGGGGTGAAGTGTAGGGGCAGGTGTAGCACTTCCTGCGGTTGCAGGGAAAGGTGTTGGGGGTGGTGGGCTAGTGGGGAGTGTGGAGCGGATGAGGGAGTTGGGGAGAGAGCGGTCCCTACGGAAGGCAGATAGGGGTGGATAGGACCTCCCTCCACGCACCCTCCCCCCTCACTCGCTTGAACCTCTCCCCTACAGAAGGTGCAGCTCTCAGCTCCGTCTGCTCCAACCCTAGCCTCATCATCATCTAACCCACCCTCCACAGACCTCTTCTCCTGTCTCCCACAGACCCCATCCTCCTGGACACCACCCCAAGGCCACCTATCCTCCCTCGACCTCTTCATCTCCAACTGCCGTCGTGACACTGATCGCCTCAAACTCTCCACCTCTCTCAGTCACTCCAACCTCTCTCCCACAGAACGTGCAGTCCTCTGCTCCAACCCTAACCTCACCATCAAACCTGCGGACAAGGGAGGCGCAGTTGTGGTATGGTGCACTGACCTTTACATCGCCAAGGCCAGGTGCCAACTCTCTGCCACCTCCTCCTACTGCCCCCTCAATCATGACTCCACCTCTGACCACCAAAACATCACCTCCCAGACCATCCATAACCTCATCACCTCAGGTGACCTTCCGCCCACAGACTCCAACCTCATCGTTCCCCAACCCGCACCGCCAGTTTCTATCTCCTTCCCAAAATCCAGAAACACGACTGCCCCAGACGACCTATTGTCTGTGCCTGCTCCTGCCCCACTGAACTTATCTCCGCTTACCTTGACTCTATTTTCTCCTCCCTGGTCCAGGAACTCCCCACTTACGTCCGGGACACCATCCACGCCCTCCACCTCCTCCAAGACTTCCAATTCCCTGGCTCCCAACACCCCATCTTCGCCGTGGATGTCCAAAACCTATACACTAGCATTCCCCATGCAGATGGCCTAAAAGCCCTCCGCTTCTTCCTCTCCCGCAGGCCCAACCAGTCCCTCTCCACTGACACTCTCATCAGCTTAACCAAACTCGTCCTCACCCTTAACAACTTCTCCTTCAACTCCTCCCATTTCCAACAGACTAATGGGGTGGCCATGGGGTCCCACATGGGCCAAAGCTATTCCTGCCTCTTTGTAGGATACATGGAACAGTCCCTGTTCCGCAGTTACACTGGCACAATTCCTCACCTCTTCCTCTGCTACATCGATGACTGTATTGGTGCCACCCCATGCTGCCACGAGGAGCTTGAACAGTTCATCAACTTTACTAACACCTTTCACCCAAACTCAAGTTACCTGGACCATCTCTGATATCTCTCTCGCCTTCCCGGACCTCTTTGTCTCCATCTCTGGTGACCACCTCGAAACTGATATCTATTTCGAGCCTACCAACTCCCACAGCTACCTAGACTACACCTCCTCTCACCCAGCTTCCTGCAAAAATGCAATCCCCTACTCTCAATGCCTCTGCTGCATCTGCTCCCAAGATGGGGCGTTCCACTCCCGAACATCCCAGATGTCCTCTTATTTCAAGAACCGCAATATCCCCCCTTCAGTGGTCGAAAATGCCCTCAACCGCATCTCTTGCGTTTCCCGCATCTCTGCCCTGAAATCCCCTCCCCTCAGCAAAAACAAAGACAGAATCCACCTTGTGTCACGTATCACCCCACTATCCTCCGTACTCAACGTATCATTCTCCGCCACTTCTGCCACCTGCAATCTGACCCCACCCACCAAAGATATATTTCCCTCCCCACCCCTACCTGCCTTCCATTGGGACTGCTTTCTCCGGGACTTCCTCGTCCGCTCCACACTCCCCACTAGCCCCAGCACCCCCGGCACCTTTCCCTGCAACCGCAGGAAGTGCTACACCTGCCCCCACACCTCCCCCCTCAGCTCCATCCAAGGAACCAAAAAAACCTTCCACATCATACAGATGTTCACCTGCACATCTGCCAATGTGGCCAATTGCGTCCGCTGCTCCCGATGTGGCTTCCTCTACGTCGGTGAGACCAAGCAGAGGATCGGAGGCTGCTTTGTAGAGCACCTGCGTTCTGTTCGTGACAAACGACAACACCTCCCAGTCGTGAACCACTTCAACTCCCCCTCCCACTCCCTGGATGACATGTCCAACCTGGGCCTCCTCCAGTGTCACAACAACGCCATCCGGAAACTGGAGGAACGACACCTCATATTCCACCTTGGGACCCTACAACCCAATGGTCTCAATGTGGACTTTACTAGTTTCAAAGTCTCCCCACCCCTGGCCTCATCCCACAACCAACCCTCCCTCTCATTCCCTGCCTCCTTGACCTGTCCATCTTCTCTCCCAGCTTTCCGCTCCTCCCACCTCACTGACCCAATCCCCACTACTGCCTACCTGCACTCACCTATCACCATCCCGCTTACCTTCCCCAGCCCCACCCCTCCTCTCTCTATTTGTTTCAGAGCTCCCTAACCCCTCCCCCATTTCTAAAGAAGGGTCCCGACCCGAAACATCAGCTTTCCTGCTCCTCTGATGCTGCCTGGTCTGCTGTGTTCCTCCAGCTCCACATTGTGTTATCTCTGACTCCAGCATCTGCAGTTCTTAATATTTCTCTTGACAGGTACGTATTTTAGTTTGGGAAATTTGGTTGGCATGGACGAATTGGACTGAAGCGTCTGTTTCCGTGTTGTATGATTCAATGACTCTCTAAGATATTAAAAACATTTGATAAGTTGGATATGGGCAAATGATAATCTCTGCTATGGGAATTCAAAATCTGTGGTTAAGTTCTTAAAATTAAAGCTGCACCTTTGAGGAGCAACATCAAGAAATAGTCATTAATGTAAAGAATAGTATGAATGTGGAAGTAACTCCCAGTTCCAATTGATATGATGTCATATGCCTTAGCTTCTTACGTAAAGCTCAGTAACTATTCTTCAATGGTGATGTGTTTAACCCTTTACTCCATAGAACAGTAGATAAATGGGTTGAGGTGCAAATCAGCCATGTTCTAATTGGATGTTGGAAGTAGCCTGAGACATCGATACTGATCTAACTTTTAATGGTCTTATATTGCTTTGCTCATATGTTCCTAAAGGCATAATAATCCAACAGAATATTAAACTGGACAAGAAATTTGAAAGGAAACAAACAGTATTCATGAGAGATGCAATCTTTAGGACATGAACATTTGAAATAGTAGTTATTTTAATTCCTTGTAGTAGCTAATGCGTTATTTTATTAAATATGAAATTCAATTTCACTTGATCAAATGTGTGCAGTATTACTAATGAGAAACAGTGTAATCTTATAAACAGATTCAAGATGAAAACATGCTTTAGTGTGTTCAGAGCTCAGCAACTCAGATTTTGGTTTAGTATGTAACAGTTGTTTTAATTTAACTTTAAAACATGTTTGCTCAAATTCTAAAGTTAGTTAATTCTTCGTGACTCATAATGATAACCCATATATATAGACGCTCCAAAAGAAGAGATATACAATTGTACTTTCTTCCACTTTTCGTGATCCTGGCCTGATATATCCCACTTGAGATAAAACACCAATTTTCAGGAAAACATTTTTTTTATGTAATGCAAGTAACATTAGCATGCATTTAGATCTATTTTGGCCTTTAGATACCATTAGCCCCCATAGTTTATCACACTTCCATCCAGACTTGTGGAGGGTACCTGGGGCACAGATGTAAAAGAGGCACAAGAATATCTATGACTGTTACTTGATTAAATTGCAGTGAAGTTTGGTAAAGGTCTATCCCACTGCTTCACAGATAGAACACCATTATATCTAAGCAGCCAGACTGTGAATGTACTGAACTATGTCAAACAGCCTTGGGACTTAAATTCATTGAATTTTCACTCCAAACAGTAGTTGTTTGAAATTTTCTTTCTTGTAGATTTTGAAGTATCAGCTCTGTCAGCAGTGTTGGCCACGATAGAAGTGACAGTAGTAACAGAGATAACAAGGTGTAGAGCTGGATGAACACAGCAGGCCAAGCAGCATCAGAGGAGCAGGAAAGCTGATGTTTCGGGCCTAGACTCTTCTTCAGAAAATAATGACAGAAACAGCTTTAATGGGGTTGTGGAGAATAAAACCATTCCCAATCCCTGATTTATGTAAGTCTAACTTGATGTGTTGGACCTGACTGTTTCAAAACTGGTATACTCCAAATGGCCATCTCCAGCTCATAGAAATTTCCAGATTGCACAATGACAATCAACAGACCACTTTATTTTCATCT